ACCTCAGTAGCACAGATGGGGAGGAGAGCCTGAGAAGTAGGACCCAGGTCCCTGAGCTTTTCGTCCCCCACTCCCAGCATGGTGCTGTCCCATCACCCCTGATAGAGCTTCCTGATGGATGTGTGATGTGCCACAAAGAGGTGGCTGCCTTCCTGACAGGAGGCAGAAAGGGAAGTCTCGTAAGGTAGGAAAAGGTATGTAAAAGCTCCAGATCACAATCTGGAGCCAGGAGCCAAGTCAAGTCCGCCCTGAGATTTTTCCCAGGAGCCAAGAGTGTAGTGAGGAGTTCAGGGACACATATGGTAAAGGGTAGGAACTTACTAAGTCATTAGCAGAGAAGGGTCAAATCAGCAATGGAAAAACACTGGTCTGTGAAGGTCAGGCCAGGTTTTTGTCTTACGATGTGCTCAAAGTCCACTTCGGACTGCTTTTAACAAGCCACACAACACGTAGCTCATTGCATTTCTGTACTTCCACTCACCAGAAACACTGAATTCCAACAGAATGATTTTCGACATAAGCGTTAGCATTTTAATTGGCTGTCTTTGCAGGTACCTTTAACTGAACACTCTCATTCTCCATCACCCATATGCAGCAAATACTTGTTCATAAACTAGAAATGTAGAAATATTTCTTGTCAAGTTTTCTTAAGGCCTACTTACTGCCCATAGCATTTCTGCATTTGCTTTGTTGTCCTGAGTTTTGATAACAGAATTTCCTCCAGCAAGCGCTCCTTCTGAGGTTCTCTGCAAAGCCAGCTAGGAGATCTCACCCCTAAGTACCGCTCTCCTGAAGACCATAAAGCAGAGGACCACAGGGGTCTTTGTTCTTATGCTCCAGGGGTAGACAAAGAACTAATTACAAAAAGAACTACTGATGCCAAAGGATAAAAATCAATGCTAACTCTAATGGTTGAAGGTAGTAGGATTTCAGAGCTCATTTATAGACAGTGTACACAAATGAACATGTAAAATTACCTTGGCTAGCAAAAAAAAAAAAAAAAAAGTGCTATACAAACAAATATAAATGCAAAATAAGATGATGATGTAAATCTCACACTACCTTTTAATGGGCACTTTGCTTTAAGGCAAGAGAGTCAGAGATGAGTTAGTTTCCCACAAGATGGGATGACTTTATGCAAATACCTTGTTACTTTGTCCACAGAATACAGGCCATGGGTGATTAAAAGAGAGATGACATAGGCGACAGCATAAAGTCATTTTCCTCTATACTTAGCACTAGTCTGACCTTCATCAGAAAGTGAGATTAGAGGATTTGGCTTGTGCCCAGAAGACAACAGTCATAAGATCTAAAGAAGATGAAAACAAAAAAAGAAGAAAAAAAGGCTCGAACTGGTTCACAGTAAGGCAAGGAGACAAAGAATGTTGGGCAAAAATTTTCCAGGTCAAGCTACATTTGATGTTAACCAATCACTCTTTTATCTTACGTTAACTATATCCAAGTAACTTAAAAATGAATGTAGGGATGTAGGGAGCCTTTATGAGCTTGTAGATTCTTGAGTTTAACCACTGGTAAAACCCAAAGGATTTATCTCCATACCAAAACAAAAGAAGGTAATATTTGGCAGGGGACTCCTCTGAGATAATAGGATAGGTCTGATGCTTTTTATGTGTGCCCTGGGGCCTCTACAGGTAGGTAGGACACACTGGGATGGTGGGGACAGCCAAGATGAACCATACTGAAACTGCTGCTGGAGAAGCCCACAGCACTTGGCTTCCTCCTGGACCGCTACACTTGGAGGTCTGGGCCTGTGAGGTCACACATCCCACCTGGACAGGCATGGTGGTGGGAAGAATGCTGGGGTCAGGAGGCAGGTTTTTATCCCAGCTCTGGCACTATGATGCTGAATAACCATGGACACCTGACTTGATTTCTTTGTCCTAAATTTCATCATCTGTAAAATAAGATGATTAGACTAGATCATCTCATGCTTCTCATCTCATGCCCAGTAAAGGTCAAATTCATTATGATTGTCCATAAGGCTCCACCTATTCTGGTCCCTCACTAGCTCTCTAGCTCATCTCTCCTTTTGTCAGCCCCTTGGCTGTTTCTGGAATACCACACCTATTCCCACTGCTTTGCATCTGCTTGCCTGTGCCTGGAATGTTCTACTCCAGGATGTTCACAGGTCTAGCTTCCTAAGATCTTTCAGATGAGTCTAGTATCACATTATCAGTAAGGATACACAATTGCAAACCCTCTATACACGCAACGATCCTTATCCCCCTTTTCAGCTTAAAAAAAAAAAGTGTTTTTTTCCCCCTCATATCACTTAACCTACTATATATTTTACTTGTTTTGTTTGTTGTCTCTCTCCCCCACTAGAAGGGCAGGGATTTCTATCTGCTTTGTTCACAGGTATATCTCGAGTACCTGGAAGAATGCCTGGTATATAACAGGAATTTAGTGAATGGATGCATGCAGGCATGGGTGAAAGGGAGGGCAGGAAGAGAACAGTTCTCTACAATGTCTTCCAGCTCTGAGGTCTGTGGTTTATGTCGTCGAAGGGCTCTGCTCTGTCGCCACTGTACCAGGATGGACTCTGTAACCACGTGAAACAACAAGCCAGCCCAGAGCTAGATGTGGTATGTTTTCACTCTGCTGTACCACTTCTCCAGTGCTGCTTCCTGTATGCTCCATGCCCTGAGCTGAAGGGCCATGCACACCCTGCACTCTCAGCAACACCACCACCTCTGAACATTCTCTATGGAGAATTCTTTATATCTGATAAATATATTTCTATGGGAAATTCTTTATAGATGGTAAATATATTCTATATGTGTGTGTGTGTGTGTGTGTATACACATATATATGTATGTATGTATGCAGCTCCATTTTCTAAGGCAAAATTAGTGTCATTTTGGAGAGCATAGTTACAACCATCTCCTTTCTCTAATTCTTCATTTAAAATTCCTGGGAGAAAGAAAATTAAGCTTCCTTACTGCCAAGATATCACACTATTAATGTAACCTGAAGGGAGAAGAGGTGACACTCCCATGTGCATTTAGGCCAGTTCCACTAGATGGCAACCTGGTCTGGGCGTGCTGGTATTCAGGGGGTGGGGGGGGTGGGGGGGGGGAAATTTATCCTCCTGCCTCCTCCTCACCTTTAGCCTGCTTTTTTTTCAACCAGTAATTTATAATTCACTCTTAAATGGTTCATGCTTATTCATGAACGCATTTGACGTAATCACTCCAGCCTTAGAAGCTTTATGTATACTTCTTCTTTCTGCCAAAGTACGTTACTTACCCTCCCTTTGGAACTCTCCCCAAAACTCACTTCTTCCACAAAACCTTCCCAACCAAACCTGGCCCTGGTCCCGACTATATACATGCCATTATATACAGTCACAGACACATAACCATTTTTATATATTGGCTAGACTGTGCCTATATACATATATAAAGAAAACTGACAGAGAATCACATGCACAACTCTGGGCATCTGGTAGGCAAATGTACATTTAACATAAATGATGTGCCGGTGACCACATTCCGGTAGTCATGGCTCTAGGAAATAGCACTGGCTGCCAAGTGAGACCAGAAACTAGATATATTAACACCCACCTATGTCTTTCGGTTTTTAGTTCCTTTCTAGTATTTAATTTAAGCTCTAGAAAGTCTTGAGTAGAAAAATTTTAGATAAACTTCTCAAATATTACACATAAACCTGAACAAAAGTATGCAAATCCCAATATAACTTTGAGGGCTATTTAAAATGCTCTCTTATTTCAATCCTCAAAAACTTTTCCAATTAACCTTAAAAATAAAATTAGGTCTACTTGAAGAAAAAAGCATTAAGTAAGGCTAAAAAGAAACCTAAGGTGTATTTTAAAAGTACGAAAGGGTTTATTGTATATATAGGATAAAATTGCTTATTGGCTGTTAGAGGAAATGGAAGCAAGAATGTTCTGACAAATATCTACACAATGGGAGAACAGAAATAAACACCCTTGTGTTTGCAAGTCACCACATGGTGTTACTGCCACTACCAGACCACTGGGAATCAGAAATGTCTTAAACTAAAGCTAATAAACATGTGTAAATTGTAAAAAGGAGAAACTTTAAGTGAAAAAGCTATCCAATCTTTTGTGAGCCCCATTTCTGAAACATTTGAGCCTTCATCCGATGCCATTTTCCCCACCCGCGACACTGGAACCTACCTCAGCTTAACACTTCCCAAAGTCACAGCAAAAGAAAAGCAGTAATTTGTTGAACACAACCACTTTAAGGCCGTGACCAAGTTATTCCCTTGTAGACAGCAACACCATGTCACTTAGTCATCTGAATATTCCGCCAGATTCCGACATGGACTTAACATCCAAGTCAGTCTGAGGGCAGTTTTAACTCACCTAGTTTCAGCATTTTCTCCTTGTACCAGTCAGGACAGCTTCACGGAGCCTTGGTGGAGTCACACAGACTGCAGAAACATACACAGCCACCCTGTTGTATTCTACGTCATCTGTATCACCTTCAGGAAGAGTCAGTCCTCCCCAAGAATAATCCGAAAATATTTATGTCGTCCTTTTGAAAAATCCACCATAAGCTTACCAAACAAATGCACAGAAGATCGTCACTTTAAAAGTTGTCTTGCTTGTTATTCTGGGAGCTGAGTTTCGTCACCTATAGTGGAATGCATTCTGTGGCCTTTAATTGTGAATCCAGAGAGGTCTCCATGTCCTAATGGGAATGGACTGGCTGCTGCCTGTACTTGCTACCTGTAAACTACGGCTAAATAGAAACACAGGGATTACCTGTGATAGGCGAACAAGAGGTATTTTCAAAATCAAGCAGAAACAGGAAGTCTAACGTTTCGACATGCTAGAAAAGAGGAGCAGATACTTACAAAACAAAAGGGAGCAGCCCCAATCATAGATGCCTGGAAAAAAGAAAATCAAAAAACACCTCATTCCTACCTGGCCAGTATAAACATGAATGTCTATTAATAGTAAGTACTGCTTAGAGGTGTTCTCGTTCTCACAACTAGAGAACAGAGTTTGGGCAATGTTGCTACATAAAATCATTAGTCTTTCCTTTTGAAAAGAATATAAGGTTTTTATAAAGAATGTACATGCAATTGTATCCAGGCAATACACATGTTCACACACACAGATATATACATATATGCTATTTAACAGTCCAGAAGCTTATTTATTTCCCTAGGTTTTGACAGTCATCACCACACACAAATCTCTCCCTTGTCCATCCCCACCACATAAGATTCTGCCAGTCCTACGTGGTGCACTTCAAGGGTGCCACCTCTATGAAGGCTTTCCCTGAAGATCTCCATCAACTATGTAGTATCTCAGTAGATTCAAGGATCAATAGCTAGGCCAGTGCAGAGGCATCACCTGTGTTCTGAGGCAGAGAGGGGAAAGGAGGCAGCCAGGTCTTCCAGCCCTAGAAACCCTGCCGGGTGGCCCAGCAACCAAGGAATCTGTCCAGATCCAATCCAGCTTTGTTAAGGCACTTGTGCTGAATAATACATGTGGCTCACTGTCTTTTTCTGGTCAGCACAGCTCTGCAGCTGAAGCAGGGTGCCCCAAGCCCCCTGCCCCCTAGAGAACAATTGGCAATGCCTGTAATGGAGGTACTTCGGGCTGCATGTGATACTTAATGAGCTATCATTAGGGAAGTCTGGGTCCATCTTATCTGGTATTACTTTTCCACCTATCTGCAACCATGTGACAGTGGCTTTTAGAAAACCAGATCCTCGTCTTCCATGCACATACACTTCACGTTATCTAGGCATCTTGAGCAGGGTACGGATCACTTAAATCTTTTTTCTGTCCCCACACTTGGTGGGTGGTGATCCCAATTTCTGAAGAGACTGACAGAGCGAAAGAGATAAGCAGCATATTCAACAAGGCTCTGCCAGATAAGGCAGGGCTGAGAAGAGAAGCCGTCAGGCCTAGGCCCTACGCTACCAAAACAATCTCCAGAACACACACTCTCTCTCTCTCTGGCCTAGTTTCATCGCCTGCTTATTACATACCCCAAGAAAAATATTTCCTTTATAGCCACCCACATCCTTATCAGCAGTACATTCAACAAAATCCCCACAAGAATAATGAAACATGTGCCTGCATGAAAAAGATACCTCTGTTTGTTTATTTTATCTGATTCTACAGCCTCAGAGACTGAACTGGATAGATCTACAAAACATCTTGACCTTCAGGCTTTGGCATTCCCAAGATGCTCCCTAGTCCCTAGAGCAGGATACTGTGGCTCCCAAGAGCAGTGTTGTTTTCTTTCTGTTCACCTCCCCGCCTTCCCATCAGTACTCTTTCTTCTTAGCGACCTCAACTCTTTCAATGGACTCCCTAAATCCATGGCCAACCAGAGCCTCCTCAATTCGACTTGCTTCTCTTCGTCCCGCTCCTTCAAGGAGGAAGGAGTCATTGGCAAAGCAGGAAAGAAGATAGACTGAGGGGAAATTTTTCCAGGAGACTCAGTGCCTGAAATTGGCAAAGTGTTCCAGAAACATTCTATAGATGTTATCACAGAGACAGAAGATGGTCAGACTCATCCTCTCTCATCCAAGGGGTCCTTGCAGAGGAGTACTTGGTTCATGCCTAGACAAGGGAGGGAAAATCCCATTGGCTGAGCACCTGATGGATGATGGGCAGCGTGCATGATGCTTTCCTTGCATTCACTCAGTCCTCACCAAAACCCTGGGAGGTGGACTCCATTATCCCCAGGTTACAGGTAAGAGAACAGAGCTCCATAAATTTAATATACCTGCTCAGTGCAATGCGGAATATGAACCTAGGTACACCTAACTCCAAATCTGTTGTAATTTTTTCTTCATATCACATCACAAATGTGTCCTTGGTTCATCAGGCAGAAAACAAAAATAAGGGACTATCTAGAAAATAAAAAGAACACCTGCAACCCACCTTTCAAGGCCAGGCAGAACAATGAGATAAACTGCGAACAGAGCTTCTGGGGGCCAGCCCTGGCATCAAAGACAGGGCTGGAGTGGAGAGAGACTTCTCAAGTCTATCATCTAGCTGACTGTCATTAATGGCCTCCCCCTAAACGGGCTGCACAGAATTGGGGAAGGCAGACTTTCCTATCACATAGTATAAGTTTCTTTGTTTTAAACATACATTTTATTAAAAGTTTCTCAGAAGCAAAATAAATAAGTTAATTAAAGCCCTTCTTTCTCTTTTCTCTCTTAGAATCAGGACTTCAGTATTGGCAAGACCTCTGATATCATCTAACCTCATTTCACAAGCAAGGAGAATGAGGCAGTCCAAAGAGGCTGAAGGCATGCCTAAAAATCACACTGCTAGCTGCTTAGCCGTGCAGCTGTGGTGAGAGCTGGCACTTAGGGCTTTAGAATGAACATTTATGTATGTCTTCCTATGATGCAGACTCAAATCTCTCTTCACACTTGCACTACCAATGAAAACACTAAACCGGCATTCAGAAAGCAAAGAAACACTGAGCGCCTGCTGCAATAAATATGCGGGCGCTTAAATGTGGTTTATTTTCTCCTGACCTGAGTATAAACAAAGTCCTGACATTTTATAGCATTCTTCCATTGCAAACCTTTATGTGAAACTGAACAGGATCCCTAGTGATAAAATACTAAACTAATTAAACTTTCAATTTGCCAAGAAAAACTCTCCAATTGCAGAGTAAATGTCTCTAAAAATTTTAGAATTTTTAGTTAATATGCAACATATGATATTTCCCAAGCTGAATTCCTCATCCTCCCTCCATCACCAAACCTGATCATTTTTCTCTGTTTTAACCTCTCTGGATTTAATCGCCACCCTGTCATCACCGATTCTTCTCTTGGTTTGGATGGTCGCTCATTCACCGAGTTCTGCTGTCTTCCCATCTGTGCTTCTCCTATTCTCATTTCCATTTGGATTCTATTAAATGCTTTGCTTTAAAGGTAGCAGAAGGTGGTTTTTTGAAGACAGCTTTCCAGGGAATGGCAGCAAAGCAGTTCTACTCTCCATTCTCCCTTTAGAGGACATAGAACTTTGTCATTTTGTCATTTTACCCAGGAGGCTATTTTCAAACTTAAATTAAAAAAAAAAAAAAAAAACAACTTTCAAAAATGTTTTAATTTTGAGAGCAATCAAAAATTACAGCATGTCTTGAGCAAAGTTTCTCTTTGATCCCTGCTCCAGGAAAAACATCTATAGCAGTTTTGACCATTTGCAGAAGGATAATATGTCGCCCAGTTCCCGGTCTTATTTCATTTGTACCCAGAGCTCCCATGTTTTTGCACCCAACAATCAGCACCTGTCCTCCACCCCACCCTCCTCAGCCTAAAGACTCAACAAATTTGTCTCACAACAAGGTGCTATCCAACAAGCTCCTTCCACAGGTGACTGGGGAGCAGACATGCCAGCAAACCACCTCTCATCCCCTGGAGAGGCATCAGAGCCCTGTTTTCCCTCCTCCATTCAGCAGTCCTGCTACAGATGAGGAGGGGGCCGTGGGAGCCCTGAGTCCTCTATCCTCTGGTATATTTCTGTCTTCCTCCACTATCTTGTCGTCACCCAAGTCCTTTCATGACAAAGGAGGGCAAGGGGGCTCATATAATCTAAAAATGCTCATAATAGAGCAAAGGGGTAGTTTGAAACTAAATTCATATACTTCTTTACCCCCAAACAGCTTCTCTTTGGGTGCTCCATATGTCACCTTCCCATCAGGCATTCAGACTTGACATCTCAGTGTCATGATGAACCCCACTCTCCACTGCCAGCCACCATGTTCTCATGTTTCTCCACCTCTGCAATGCCCCTTCTGCTTTCCCCTCGTTCCAGCCCCATCACCCCATCCCACCCCAGGCTTCATCCTCTGGCCTGAACTTTCTGTTCCTTTGACTTAGTTGCCCTCGTGGCACATCTTCCCAAAACAAAGCTCTATCACCATAACGTCACCATCTGTGCCTAGAACTGAGTTTATAAAGTGCTTCCCCATCCTCACTTCACCATGTCCCTCTGATGAGGATGGGCAATGCCTCCCTACTGTTCATGGGTGGAGTCTGCACAGGCAGCACAGGATTTAAGGCAATCCCCAACCCTGCCCCCGCCATGCCCAGTGCTATTCTACCTCTGGGCCTCTGATCACCCGCTTTCCTCAGCCTCTCTCATCCTTCTCATCCTCATCAGCTACAAAATACGGCCAGTGTCCCAACACTCAGCTCACATGAGACCTGTCAGTACTGCAGCTCCCACTCCTCTGTCTCCCTCCGTCACTCAGAAGCTTTCTTACAGCACTTAGCAAGTTTTGCTCCAAGGGATGGCCATTGCTACACATCTCATGACCCCCATTACACTGCACATTCCTAGGTGACGGGAGAGTTCTTTACTCATTCAACAAAATCAACCTGCATTTATCTAGTATATACTGCATGCAAGACACTGATTTAGATGCTGGAGACATGGTGGAAAATAAAACACATAAGGTCTCCTGTCCCACAAAAACTCACATTCAGTAGGAGAAAGAGATGGCAGACAAGTAAA